ACGCGGGTATTTTGTCGCACAAAAGCGTACGAGTAACAATTAGTGTAACTACAATCTGCTCCCCTCTCCCGATGGTTGAGGGGAAAAAATCTAACAACCCTTCGGCACGAAGAGGAAATGTCGCGCGTGAGAAAGCCTCCCTTGTTGCACGTAAACCACCAAAAGACGATATGTACGAGCACAAAAATGAAACGTTTCTGCTGGGATCGTGTGTGTAGGTACTCCTCCGGTGCAATGACGATATAGTTCTCCGAGTGGTTTCGCAGAAAAGATAGGGTGGAGAGAGGGAGAAAGAGAGAGGGAGAGAGAGAGAAAGGGATGAAACAGAGGGGAGAAGGTTGGCTAGTAGAAAAGTCAGCCCTCTCATTCACGTTGTTAGTTGGTAGCTCGTTGAGAAGAGGTAGAGAGGGTAGTGGAACTACACAGGAAAGAGAGACTCGCACCCCCGACGGTCTCGAATGGGCGAGGCCCCCAGCTTTTCATCCGCGAACAGCCCGCCCTTAAACAGCCCTAAACTAAGTCACTTCAGTCCTGACGTTGAGTGTGACTGATCGTCCAGGCGTATCTTTAAAATGGCCACCCAATGTACACGATGTCATCCCCGAGACTGATGACAAGACGTACGCCAAGGCAAATGAATAAGGCTCCTGAAACGTAGCCCCGTATTAGAATTTCTCCTCCTTTCTTTTTTCTCTTTCCGCCGAAGAAGAGGAGAAGATGTTGAAGATGGTGGCTTTTTTAGATTTTTTTTTCTTTTTTTTTACAAAGAAATATTCGACGTTACTATATATATAAGTAACGTAGAAGAAAAATTAGAAAGATTATTCGTTTGTTATAATCTTCGATTCGGGTGGATGAATCGTATGGATACACGTGGTCGGCAGGTGTTCGTTTTATTATTTTGATCCGAGAAGTGTTTCGTGTATAGAGATAACGAGCAAGGCCATCGCGAAAATTCCAAGTTCGAATTGATATTTCTGGAGAGTGTCTTCTCTTTTGTAAACGATTTGTACAGGACGCGGGCATGGTCACCGTTATCTCGGTCGGCGGCGATAATTCCGTGCAAAAATGGATAATTGGTGTCGCCTGTGTTTTCCACTTGGACACGTACACTGCGTTGAATGACGCCACACTCTACAAAGTATAACATTGTATATACGCCGCTTGCATAGACGCATCATTGAAACGGGCGTGTGCAAGGAAAAATATATTCTCCAATTACGGTTTGACGGGATTCCGGGGAAATTCACAATAGTTTCGCTCGCGCAACTTGGCCTTTTTTTTTTGCATCTTTGTCACAATTTTGCCCGACGTGTGCGAAATTGAATTTCAAACGATGGAAAAGATAAACAAGGAAAAAGGGTGTGTATTGTCCGTGTGTGCAACAACTCGGATGAATATTTTTACAAGGCTTTAATTAACGAACAGATGATGTACAATCTTTTGATAATGAGAAGCATTGTTGAATAGGATATTATTTGAAACAATACGATGCCTTACGCTAAAATTAACGTACTATTATTTTCGCACTTTGGTTTACAGTCAACTAACACGATTTGTTGTTTCCTTGGCGTCAGAATTTTTACAGATAACTCCCATATTTTCTGTTTTTTACTCGTTTTCTTTTAAAAATTCATATTATTGATTTCTGAATCGCATGAAATTTTTTTACACCATCCTTTATAGAGATCCTTTCTTTTCTATTCTCTCCATTCCGCATTATTATTATCCCTCTATTATATTTTACCTCGTTTAATTACGCGTTATAATATATAATTGGAAAAAAAATTCGGATATAATAGTATTTACAGAACCCTATTGAATAAACCATCGCGCATTTCGTATCTAAATCGAACGGCGGGGGAAAAGTGAAAACACCAGCGGATTCCCAGCGTGATCCATTATCTCCGGTTTCTCCTCACCCTGATGGTCGCGAGAATTATGATATAGGGATTGATATAAATTGAGCACACAAATCAAAGGAGAAGAAGTCGAAGATATCGAAGGAGGAAGGAAGTGTTTACTACAAATATTTGTAAAGACGGCGTCTAGACCGTCTCACATAAATCACCAATAACACACTATTCCTCGTCTTTCTTTCTTCTCTCGTAAAAAGATGCGAACGTGAACATCGAAAAATGTTCACAGCCAATTCATTAATGTCACGTGTACCGTTTGATTAGCTACGGATGTATTAATAATCGATTCACAAACATTAAAACCATTATTTCTTTAACAAGTTTCCGTGCCATCGTTTTCGAAATGAATTTTCACCCCGCAACAGGGAATAAGAAAACCTCGGTCGTAGGTATCGGTGACATCTTGCAACGCAATAATTTCCCTAAAATATTGCCACTTCGATGATTGCCCCGTGCTCGACATCCAGCCGTTCGTAAACCCGAAGGGAATAAACGCTTCACGCATTCCTGATGCGTCTCACAGTCTTTACGGCTTATTATCACCTTCACGTTTATGCACTCTCACCCCGAGATATACATCAGTCCTCGGAGGAGGAAGCATGTCAAAAGAAAGCGGAGAACCAAGGGTGGTCGTATATTTGCAATGTTTCTGCGAATCCACGAGGTCACTTTCAGAGAAAGTATAACAATCGGCTAGCGAACTTGCTCGTTTCTTGGTACACCTTGAAGAATATCGGTCAGAATAGAATTTTACCTAAAAGAGAGTTTCCCCTCCCCCTCCCCCCCTTCGTTATTACATGGAAACTCTTTGATCTCACGCACAATGCGCGCGCGCGTGCACACACACACACACACACACACACATACAACACACACTGTCAACTGAATATTAAACGTCAGACCTACGAAGAAAATTCTACGAACGATCTTTGACTATATTTTTTTCTTTTTTTTTTTTTTTTTGTTTTCCAACAATTTTTAATATTTTCAATCTGTTTGTCATTTTTTCTTCTTCTTTTTTTTTTTCCCGATTCTTTCAATTAGATTTTGGATTATTGTAACAGAGTTTCTACGTGTTTTAAAGAAACAAATGCTTTGTTTTATAAAGAAATACAAGATGTAGCATACAGGCAATCGGTACTGACGAGGCAGCAGTTTCTCAGGTCCGTGTTTCGTTGCTTTTGCCATTCGATTCGGCTGTAAACGCCACGACTCGTCTCACGGTCGTGACTCTTTTGCTGCGGAGAAGAGAAGCAGTCGAAGAAAGCGACTTTGCGCGCCATTCTGCCCTATCTCAACGATATTTTGCCATGAAAATGATTGCAAATCGTGTTTCGCACGTATGAAAATTAAAATCCCGACGAAAAATAAAAATTCATTCGATCTGACGAATAATCGTGCGTTTATTTTATATCCAGGTTTTTTTTTTTAAGCCCAAAACATTACGCGTTACCGCTTTGTTTATACATAATAAACGCAACGATTGCGAAATATCGCCGGGATAATCGACGGAATGAAATCTCGTAAATTCTCGATTGGACGCGCGTCGATCGAAAAAAAAAAAAAAAAAGGAAAAAGTTATTAATCCTCGATACGGATATTTATCGCGGAGAATGGAATTAATTGGGGAAGCTGCGATACAACGGAACATTCACGCATCGATTAAAACGTGTACGCGTGGAAAAAAAAAAAAGAAGGAAATAAAAGAGGGAACAAGAACAAATCGGTTAAGCACCAACGATGTAACCTTGGACGCCGCTACGATAACAAGGATGTCTGTTATGCTGACGAGGCATCTTGTACCATAATCAGACTTGCATATACTGTAAGCATCAACTATACTCGCAATAAAAATATGCACATGAGTGCAACAGTAATGAGACAATTATATGGTCTCATCGGGATCTATCTTGCAATTCTTTGGACAATTATTGAATATGAAATCATTGAATTGTAAATAGATTTTTCGCAATTAAGTTCTTTTCGCGAATATAATAAATGATTTAATGAAAGAAAGAAAGAAAGAAAGAAACAAAAAAAAGAAGGAAGGAAGGAAGGAAGGAAGGAAGATAAAAAAAAACGCGAAATCAATAGCAGAATCTTATCTTACATCTAAAGATATTTACATATGTGATTAAATTATATATAAAAGTTTTTAAGTCGAATAATTTTTAAAACAATGAATGAAATTGCGTTTTTTATTTGAATAAAAGGAACTTGCATATATTCTTCTAGTAATTGCAGAAATAAAAAAAGTCTCAATTTAATGTCAATTTAATGTGATTTTAGTTCCATTGTTAAAATCAAAATTTTAAAGAAAGGATCTGCAGAGTGGAAATCAGTTAAAATACGTAATTATAATCTGCGAGAAAAATAATTTACACCTCCACCCTTTAACATCGTGACCAAAAAAGGAGAAGAAATAATGTAATGTTAATTTACTCGACTGTAACTCGTTGTCGCCGTTGCGAATTAAGAACTGGAACTCAGGACCGAGTCGATGACAAAAGGCAACTCAGAGCCTGACGAAATTCTTGAATCTCACGTGGCCGTACGCCATAAGCTACGATGGGGGTTGCCTGCCGTGACGACCCGCGACACACGTTGCTCTTTTTTTACTATTCGCCGTGTTCCCTCGGCCCTCAGCTCCATGGTCGCTTTTATTTAACGATTTCTCTCCCGTTTCACTAAGCCAACCCGATACACGAACGAACTTTGAACGACCGGCCTAGCAATTTAGCAGGATTATTGGAAGTCGCAAGAACGCGTCCACTTCCACACACACACGACAGGAGAAAAATTACACGAAAATCGGTTCCTTTCATCCAGACAAATTTTCTTTCTTCACGGGAAAAAACAACAGATAGAACGTCGATTACGAGAACGGTGATAATTCTTTTTTTTTCTTCCTCTACTTAACAAATACTCGAAGTTATACGAATATATACTCGTCTCTTACTTTGTATCTCGTGATACGTAATTTTTTTCCAAATATATATATATATATATACGAACGCTACGTATACTGCTATGTAAAACGCGATGAAAATTATCGATTCGAGAGTTGAAACGGGTACTCACTCTTCATATTGAATTCACGATATCCAAATATCCGTTGTTCAAATCTCGAGAAATGGTGGGACACCGATCGTGGTGCTGCGAAATGGCACAGAATTTTTTCGAAGATGACGGCTCACTATCATTTCTTCGACTCGAGTCGTGGTCAGGTCAGAGGACAAGAGGCGGCGCGGAACTTAAAGGTTGTCGTAAGCAAAACTAAACTTCGAGTTTGACTCGGGATCCCGATGTTACATATCTCCCCACCACGCTCTCCCCTTTTTAGTCATGTGAGAATTACATACACGGCGTACACATAGAACCGAGAATACGGAGATTTCACGTAAAGGAAGGCATCCCTTGCCACCTCCTCCCACCGCTAATTTCTATCTTTGTCTCTCCTCCTTTCTTCAAGGAGGAACAAAGTCTGAAGTTGTACAGGATGCTTCCTCTTTGTCTTAAAACTACTGTAAATTGCATTATTCATACTTCATTTTCCGAGAAAGAAACTTCCGTTTTATTTTTAGTATCACTTTTTCAAACGATTGTAACCGTTTGCGATCGTTATTTCTTTCTCTCCTTCTTCCTTTTTTTCTTCTTTCTTTCTTTTTCGTTTTTCCCGATTTCGTCGCGATTTTCACTATTTACATATTTGGACGGTGTTATTTGTTATTGTAAAATAATTTTTACCGACGACGCGATGTAGAAACGCTTAGATGTAAAAAAAAAAAAAAAAAAAGGAACGAGAAACCTGTTAAAAAGTATAATTACGAGATGAATAATTATTCGAAGTGAAAAAATACGAATTAACGCGATTCTCGATTAGTGGCGAGAAATTTATTTATTTTGTTGCGCTATAAATGACTTCAATAACCCGTGTACCAGGCGATCTCATGCCATTTAGAGGATGCAACATCGTAAATCTCAATCGGACGAGCATCGGCCATAGTAGGAGGTCTCGGTAAGGAAGTATCGGATGTCGTGTTTCTACACATGTCGAAACGCTTAAATCGTTTTCACCTATCCGCCCGCTAAAACGACCGTGTAACAGCTGGCTAGTTTGCGGCTTTCTCTGATCTCGAGCCGAAGACCCTTTGGAAAAGTGATCGTGATCACTTTTCGCACTTTCTTGCTCCTCCTCTCGAGACAACAGGAAATCGAGACAAATGATTTCCTATTCATAAATTAATCGGTCGAATTAGAATGGAAATATATATATATATATACACGTAAAATCGTTTAAAAAATATTTATGTATACGTTCTTTTTTTAGAGCTCGTAAAATTTATCGATTAAATTGCGGTTGGAGGAACGAGGCGGAATAAGCGGGCCACAGTTTTGTGTTTTCGAAAACGCGTGGAAACTTAAAATATAAATATCGTGAATGATACGTTTGGTCATTAAGAAAGTTTTCTTTTCGAGAAGAGAGAGCTGGAAGAGAAAGGGAAAGAAAAGAAAAAAAATGGAAGCATAAAAATTCATCGAGGACGCTGTCACACTGGGTTGGCCGTGCATAAGGGTGATTCGTGTAGGAACGCGACTTTATGGGCCTCTGTATTTGCTCTCTCGGTCTCGGGCGTTGAACGGCCGAGCCGTGATTTAACGACGTCGACAAATTTGATTTGTTTCCGATAGCGGAGACGACAATGCTACAGACTAAATAAATTTTTGGCGCGAGTTTAATTTTAGATCCCCTATGAGGCAAGTCGAAGGGCTGGAGGTGAAATTAGACGTTTCTTTTCTCGTTGGTAACAATGAATAAGAAAACCGTAGTTGTTGACACTGCCAGTTTTAGATTTCTGTGAATCGACGTTTGCAAAACGGCGAATATTCTGCCGACTATTGTGTCGTGAGGCTCGGAGCCGAAGTTACCTAAGAGCTGTTTACGCACGTGCCAGGATGTTGCGTGCAATCTTACTATTATTAGTTAACTCAAAACGTTTCATTTTCGAAACGGCGATGTTAATCGACGATGAATTGTTCTGACGTTTGAAATGTCGTTCCACTCGAAAAATACCGGGAACAAATAAACAATCTTAATCTGTTTTAACCACTCTCGAACCACTCTCGATCGCCCTTTATTATTTTTTTGATAAAGAATCAGAAGATTAGAAGACCGCGGATTCGTGGAATTTATTCTTTCGTCACCTTCTTCACGTGCCGTTGAAGGAATTCGAAAACGAACGAGAGAGAGAGAGAGAGAAGAGAGAGAGAGAGAGAGAAGAAAGACAAACATAGAAATCTCTCTAGATAATTAATTAGAAACCTGCTTCGAAACAACGATGCGATTCCTATGTATGAATAAAAGAAAAAAAAAAAGGAAAAAAAGGAGAAGAAAAAAGAAAAGAAAATGCTCGAAAATGTTTCATACGCTTTAAAGATACAAATCTACGTATTACGAGTGATGCATAGTTCGAAAAGAAAAGAAAAAAAGTTTTTCAAAACACGCAGTGGTTGGTTGTTGGAATTTGTGGAGGGAAAGGGAGGAGAGGAGAGAGAGAGAGAGAGAGAGAGAAGAAAGAAGCAGCGAC